TTTAATTTATTATTATTACAATTACAATGTGCTTTAGACTCTGTCTTAGCTTTAGACTTTGTCTGTTATTCATCGATATAGGATTACCAACATTATAGCAATATTTTTTACAGTAAATAAATTAGTTTTGTTGTCTAACAAAAATTGCAGATTTTAAGTCCAGAATTTAAATCAATAAGCCACAGCAAGCCTTAGGCTGTTATAGAAGAGAGATCAGGTTAAAAATCAGCTGGTTGTTCTAAGCAATCAAAAAGTAAAGATTTTTTGTTAAGACAAGAGTATAAATTTGAGTCGTTAGCAAATAGAGCCACTTTAGATGTTAAATTTTCATGAAGATTGATATTGTGGATAAGAAACAATTCAGGAGCAAAGATTTAAGGGTTCCACAAGATACCTTGTGGTACCCTTAATGTTACTGATGTTAATGTTACTAGAAATAAAGAAGAGTGTAGGTCTAAAGGAATAAATTTATTACTGTAGTTAGTAAAAAATAATTAATAATCTCAAAACCTTTATTTAAAGAAACTAATAACAAAGTGAAGACTAATCGTCGGATAGTTGGAAAATTATTTGAAAAATTGAAACCACTTATTTAGCACTTTTTAAAAATTAAATATTATTAAATATTATATAATTAATAAGAGTAAATGTTAGGCTTAACATCAGACGGGACCTTTTTATATTGGCTTCTTGGAATAATAAAGGATATTTGTTCCTAAGAGTGATGTTCTTGTAAAAAAGATGAAATAAATGATTAATAAAGCAACGGCTCAAGATGGTGAAAGTATAGAAAAGAATGAGATTTGACTTAAAATTGAAGAGGAGGAATAAAAGCTCCCAAACTTTTAGTCCAGAAGCAATAAAAGATTCTGAGATGCACTTTATGCATACATATTATTACTAACAAAATCACTGGGCAATCACAAAACAGTTAATGTAAGTAGGAGCAACCATATTTAAATATTGCAATTTTCACAGTTGCAACAGACTTCAATAGTCAAACAAACTGAGCAAGCATAGATGTGTTTTTGACACTTTAATCTAAAATTTTTTAAATGTGGTTTATTTAGTAAATTTATTGTCGACAATGATTAGTACTTTAACCTTATTTATTTTTTATAACACATTAGGGTACATTATACATATCATTGTATGACTGGATTTTTTGTTTTCCCGATAAAAAAGATAAGGTTTTTTTCTTGTTTTTGTCTAGAAAGACAGAGATAGGATGGCTTCTCTTTTTAGTTTAAAAATTTAGTTTTTTATTAATATTTGCTATGAATCAATGTATCTCTGGCTTGTGTCAGTGTACCTTGTGATAGGATACTAACTAGAACTACCTATATAGTTTGATACAAATTACATTTTTTGATTAAATTAAATCCTAAAACCTTTTAATAAGTCTTAGTGGTAATTCCTTTTGAATAAGGTTAGTTAGATAAACAATGAACTCATTCTATTGATTTTTTTTTCTAGTTTTGATTTGTTTTTTTCACTTTAAATTAAAATGTATCAATGTTCCCTATCTTCCATATAAAAAAAGGTCCTTCGGATTGACCTTTTTTTACAAATTTTAGATAAAACCAATAATTTTTAGTGACTAAACCAAAGTTTATCTATTTTTTAAGGACCAACTAGGGGTACTAAAATGTTATAACCCTAATGTATATGTACACAAACACACATATGTATGCCCAATAATATATATCCAATTTTAAATATATATCATTGTCTATAATAATATTAAAAGTAGACTTAAGTGGCTTAGATGTGACTTGATAAGTCAGATAACAGTTTTTAACTGTGTCTTTCTTCTTTATATATATATATATATATATATATATATATATATATATATATATATATATATATATATATATATATATATATATATATATATATATATATATATGTATATATATATATATATATATATATACATATTTATATATATATATATATATATATATATATATATATATATATATATATATATATATATATATATATATATATATATATATATATATATATATATATATAGCATCCTAGTCGCGACTTTCGGGGACATGTTTTTTTTGTTCCCGCTCTGTTTGTTTTTTATGCTTTTTTATACTATTTTTATTATATTTATATATATTTTTTATTTTGTTTCTATTTTTATTTATACATATTTAAATTTATTATTATAATTTAAAAATATATTTTTTATATTAATTTTTGTTATTTTTATTTATTTATTTTATATTATATTTCATTTTTAACTTCATCTATTTGTATATATATATATATAGTATATACACATATATAGTATATATATAGTATATATATATAGTATATATATGTTCAAAACATTAAATATGGAAGGACTTCCTTTGTTAATTTTTTTTTAATTTTTACTTTTTTTTCAGAATGACTTCATATTCTTATTGTGATGTTTGTCGCATTAACCATACACTTGGGAAAAGACACAATTTTACAAAGAAACATAAACTAGCACTTAAGATATTGATAGAGAAATTTGGTAAAAGAATTACTGAATGCTATACTTATTTTCAAAACCCAGTCATTTTTGAAGCTAAAAGTGAAGATGAAAGTTCAATGACAGTGTGGTGTCATTTTTGTAAAACAAGCTGCATTAAACACGTGACAGATAAATATAAAACAATTTTGTATGGTGGTATTTTTGAGCACCTATCATCTGAGAAACATTGGAAATCTACAGACGAATTTTGGATTACTAATAGTGTTGACCAAAAGGAAAAATCAACTTTCATTATATCAATGGCAGACATGCTGTTATACAAAAAAAAACTTGTTCTATTAGTTGAGCAATTTGAAATAAAAGAAATATCACGCACACTGGATATAGCAAATTCTATTAAAATTAAAGAAAAAAATAATTTAGCCATTGTTAGTAGTTTAAAAATATCATCTGATAATGTTGTTTATAAAACTGAAAAAAATAAGTTTGGCATCCTTCAAAATCCTCTTGGCATACATCAAGGAGTAAGAGTATGGAGAGGTGGAATTGTTAAGTATAAAATGAATTCAGATCAAATTATTCAAACAAAATATACACAAAAAAATCAAGTTGAAATAAAACTCAATACTGTTACAAAAAATATTCATACAGGAGCAGTACCACCTTGGTTGTGTAATGATGAATGTGATCAAAACAGTAAAATGGGTCCTTCAACTAAAGAGTTTGAAGACTATATAATAAAAACAAAAAAAAGGAAGTTAAATCCAAATAGAGTTGGAGCAAAATTTGACCACAAAACTGATGAAATTCAAAAGGATTGGCTTCCATCATTTGGTCGTGTTTGGACTAGTGGTCCACGTTGGAAATCTCGAAATGAATTCAAAGATATGAATGAATGATATACAGAAAGGTAAATAATTATATAGTATTTTGTTATTTCAACTAGTTTTAAAAGAAGTTTATTATAATGAATAAAAACTTAAAATCTCTAAATAAATTTGAAGTTTTGGATGAATAAAATAAATTTTTATGTTACTTTTATAGTTTCAAAAATTATAAGTTTCAAAAATTTAGGCTTGTAGAATAAAAGAATATAGGGGTGTAGATTAAAAAGTAAAATATAGATATTTTGGTATTTTGTATAGTAATTTCCAGGTATTGAGACCAGTGACGGATCCAGAAATTTTTAGTGGTGGTGGTGGTGGGGAGGGGGTTATGTTAAAATATTTTTATATTTTGTATCACATTTGTGTCTCCTGAAAAAAAAAGGTCCTCTTTTTTTAAGATTTTTTAGGACTTTCTGGTGGGGGCTAGGTATGCATCTGGGTCAGGGCAATAACATCCGTTTTTGTCATGTATAATAACATCCATGAAAAACATCCGAAATTTCATCGATGTATAATAACATCCGTGCAATAACATCCCAAATTTCATTGATGTATAATAACATCCGTGCAACTACATCTGTAGATTTTTTGGATGTAACTACATGTGATTTTTTTTTTTAAATGCATAATTTTAACCAGATGTAGTTACGCATCTGATTTTTTTCGAATGTAACTACATCCGCCAAAAAAAAATTATTATGATGCATTATTTTAAGCATAATAAATTTTTTTTTTAATTATTTGATAGACTGCCTGCCCAAACCTAACCCTCAGTCGATGTAGCAGCACTCCGTTGTGAGTCAGGCTATTTGTCAGTCGATGTAGCAGCACTCTGTTGTGAGTCAGGTTATTTGTCAGTTAAATGTAGCAGCACTTATATAATATAATAATTATATATGTAACTTATAAATGTAACTACATCCGGAATTTTTTTTTAATAATGCATTATTTTAACCAGATGTAGTTACACATCTGATTTTTTTCGGATGTAACTACGTCCGAAAATTTATTTTATTTAATAATGCATTATTTTAGGCGGATGTAGTTACACCTCGAGAAAAACTCTCGGATGTAGTTACATCTTTCTAAAGATGTTATTATACTTCAATGAAATTTCGGATGTTGTTGCACAGATGTTAATTCAGTATAGAAAAAAAGCGAATGATCTTACACAAAAATGTGCAGATGTTATTTCACTACTCCATGGATGTTGTTGGACAGATGTAGTAATCTTTTCCCATGCATCTCGGATTCCCCCCCCCCCCCCACCGTCTCCCTGGATCTGTCACTGATAGAGGCATCCATAAAGTACTCAGTAAAACCCTTGATTTAAAACCCCCTCCCCTCTTGAACACAAGTGTATGCATTCAACGACCTCTCCCCTCCTCTCTCTCTTCATACGTACGCAATATTTATCAACCCCTCTTATTATTAATCAATCCCCTCCCCAACGCATAAATTTTTCAAGACATTAAAAAAAAAATTTTTTTGGTTAATTTGACATTTGATCTATGTTAAATAACATAATAATATCAATTTTTCAAACTTGTGAAATTCTATGGATTTAAAAAAAAAAAATCAAGTTTTAGGAGAGATCAAGAATAAAAGATAGTTTAAACAACTTATGTCGCTGTCTTTAACTCCCCCTCCTCCCCTTTGTAGGTGTTTGTATGATTTTAACTAACCCTCCCCCCCCCCCAAACCTGCGTATGTACTTTATGGAAGACACGATGCATAAATTATTAGCAAAAAAATATAGGAATAAAATATATACGGTAAAAAATAAATATTACTACTTCAGCCCTCAAAATTAGGGTCGCTATTTGACTATGCCGACCTAACTATCAACCTGACAGTATTTAAGGTCGGCAACGAATTTGCCAACCTTAGAATTTTAAGACATAGTTTTATTTGCTATTTCAAATTAAAAACCAAAAAAAAATTTAAATTCTAAATAAAAAAAAATTAAAATAAATGTGACAAATTAAACGATTTACAGTCATTCCCTAGGTAACTTTGAACACTTTGCACTAGGTTTATCTCAACAAAATTTTTTTTACAAACTAGTTAACAAATATTTTTACATAAAAGGTGTTCTGATGATCTCTTTTTTCTAGTTTGTTATCATTTTTTTAAATTTGCTAGTTATTTTGTTCAAAAACAAAGTTCAAGTAAGGATTCAAAGTTACACTTGCATTTAGGGTAACTTTGAACACTATTAAATTAAATGTCAATATTAATCATTTAAATCTAAAAAGTTGTATACATTTTGTTGTATTAGCTCAAATTAATTAAAAAAAAAATCTAATTAAACTATATTGAGAATAAACAAACAAATTTTTCAATAAAATATTACAAATCACTAAATAAACTTGTTGATCAATTTTTAAGGTTATGAAAGAAAAAAATAATTAAGACATTATTTCTATATAATTCTACACAAATAAACACCTGTGACTATATAAAACTAAATATTACAGTGTTTAAGTCCATTATTTTAGTCTTGAGTCATAACTAACTCTTTAATCATATAATCATGGAAAACAAGTATATTGTGATTGTTTATTTGCTCTAATGAAGAAACTGCATCATTTTGAGATACAACTTGCTCATTGTCTTTAATAACTTGATTAACATCTACAATGCTTGAAATTTGTGAAACATTTTTTTCGTTTATTTTCATAATTATATTTTTTGATCCAAGTGGTCTTCCTCTTTTCTTTGTTCAAATATTATCTTGATTTTTTTCTTATTGTCTCTTAACTTATAGTATGCTTCTACCTCAGTGGCTGATACACTTTTTCCTGCTGTTATTGGTAACTTGAATTTTTTGCTTGCTTCATAATTAAGATTAGATGTATGAATTTCATCAACATATTTCCTAAACGATTCTCCAATGTTGAAATGAATACCTATATCTATATTTGTAAAGCTGGGTAATTTTGAGAGAACATGTTCAGGGTCGAATGGATATATGCCAGTAGAATTAAATCCTGCTTGTAAATTATGTTCTAGATTTTCTTTACCAACATTAAGAGTAGATTTAATGAGCTGCGAAAACAAATTTTTTGGTAGGTTATTAACTTTTTTCCCATGGGATGTTTTATGCCATTGGTTAAGAACTGACCTCCAATTAGCTTGTAAACTCGAGAAATACCTAACATCTAGAGGTTGTAAAAGGTGTGTGGAATTGGGTACCAAACATATAAATGTTATATTATGCTTTTCACATATATTTAAGGCTTTTAAAGATATATGAGCACTTAAATAATCACAAATGAGAATTTTTTTACCTTCCTTATTTATAATATTTGGAACAAAGTAATTTAATAGCCACTCTTTAAATAATTGAATTTCCATCCAGCCACTGCAAGAAGTTCCCATTCTTGATCCTCCTGGTGCATTAAAAAGCCAGTCAGACCAACTGTGTTTTCCTTTAAAAATGAAAAATGGTGGAATTAGCTTTCCTGAGGCATTTCCACAAAAAACAATAGTGTAACAAGATTTTGTAGTGTTTCTTATAAGTTCTGGATGGCGAGAGGATCGACAAAAAATAAGTTTTTTTTTTCCAGGTCGTCATGAAACCCTATTTCATCCATATTATAAATGTTATCTGGTGTTACTCCATTTAATTGCTTCTCTAGATTTTGAAAAAATAATTCTATTTGACAATAATTAACCTGTGCACGTTTCCTTGAAATACAATGAGACTTTTTCTTTTAATGATGGATGTCTTTCGAGATAAAGTCTACACCACTCCCAACCTGGTCGGTTATCTTTAAACTGTTGTATATCTTTTCCACTATCATCGAGTTTTTGACAATACTTTTAAAATCATTAATTCCAATTGGTACTTTAAAAATTTTAGAAGCTTCACCAATTGACATGTTTTCTAATTTAATTTTGGCTAATGCCTCTTGAAGTGTATATATATATATATATATATATATATATATATATATATATATATATATATATATATATATATATATATATATATATATATATATATATATATATATATATATATATATATATATATATATATTTATATATATATATATATATATATATATATATATATATATATATATATATATATATATATTTATATATATATATATATATATATATATATATATATATTTATATATATATATATATATATATAAATATATATATATATATATATATAAATATATATATATATATATATATATATATATATATATATATATATATATATATATATATATATATATATATATATATATATATATATATATATATATATATATATATATATATATGTATATATATATATATATTATTACATAATAAAAATACTATAATAAAAAGATGTCTATTATATTTATTATGCATTATTGCAATGTTACTCAGACAGCAAAAAAAGCACTTTCTGGAAATATTGATTATTCAAAGTTACCCTGATTCGGGTTATATTTTAGCTAAGTAAAAATAAATATCCTTTTAGTAGCAAAAAACATGTTATTTCCTATTATTTTGAGTTTTTATTAAAATTTGAAAAATAATTCAATAAAATACTAAGAAATCTATCCTGATATTTACAATATAGTAACAAATGTTCTAAATTGACAACACACGATATTATCACCACATTCGACTGAGTAACTGGAAATCGAGGGAAAAAATATTTTTGAGCAACAAAATTCAATTATCTATGGTCAAACCTTTGTAAAAAAGGATAATTTATCATATTATCCTTTGTTAAAGCGACAGGCAAAGAAAATACCAATGAAAAAAAATTTTAAAAACATTTACACGTTTTATTCAATGTTACACGCAAGTTCAAAGTTACCCAGAATGACTGTATTTAAATTCTAAATAAATAAAAACAAAAAAAAAATAATGTTTTAGGGAGCATCCATAAATTACGGTAACGCAAACTTTCACAATAAACAAAACAAAAAGATCAAAAGCTTTCCCTCGCAGAGAATTTAAATAAAAAATTAAAATAGGCCATTAAGTTTAACTTATTATC